CATGATTTCAATAGACAAAGGGGAATTAGTAAAATATAAAGGTAGGAATTTCTTTTTTAAAAAATCAAGATTTATTGATCCTAAGAAGAGGGAGGAGTAGATAAGAAGACATCAATAAAATTGTTTTTGTGTAAGACTTTAACATTATCTTTATTGATTTTCTGTTATTCTATTCAGTGCTTCAGCCTGACAAGATCTTTTTGGATCTTGACTCTATCATCCAATGTGTTAGCTATCCCTCTCAGGTTTGTATCAGCTACATATATGATGAACATACCTCTATACTTCTATCCAAGTTATTGATAAAAACTTTCAACAGTGAAGGGCCAAGCCCAGATCCATTGAGTGCTCCACTGCTGACCTTCTGCCATATTGACATTGAGCTGTTAGCAACTGCTCTTTGAGTCTATCTAATTGTATTATCATCTACTACATATCTCTCCTATCTTCTCCACAAGAATAGGATATCTTCATATCATAGAAGAGCCAACATTTCCACATAACCTTAAAAAGGAAATACAACAACTGTAGAGTAATATTCCTTCTTTTAAATTTAGGTGGGGGATAGTGTGATTTTTTTTCCCTCAGGGAAAATGAAAACTTTTTCAGGGATATATCTGTTTCATAAAGTGAACAAAATATCTTTATGCAGTTTTTAAAGGGACTGATTATAGTATGTTTGTAAAAGGAAACGTTTTAGAGGAAAATGGCAGAAATATAAAAGTTGAAGTATATGTATTTTATACACACACACACACACACACACACACATATATGGTTAACATAACGTTTCCATGTATGCATAAGCATTTTTCTTCTTTCCCTTTGTCTCACTTTCTGGACAAGTTATATGTGTATAAGTACAACAGAATTTTATGATAGAAATTGGACCTCCCTCCACCCACCCCCCAAGGAGCTCCAAATACCATAAAAGAAGTTTCTGCTGGTAGATTTAGCTAAATGCTAAAAGTTATTACAACTGGAGATTTCCACTGAGTCCACTGAGCTTAGAATTGTTTGGGTACCTGGAAGAAGAATTGAATATCTAAATGTTTGCTTTCCTTCTTAATCCCCTGATTCTGGGAAAGGGGAGAGGGGAAACAAAGCTTTTATTCTTTATACTCTAAATAGCAAGAAACAATCCTCAATCCTATTTATAATTTTACTTTAAAACTTTAATTCTTTCTGTCTTAGTTCTTTGTTATATGGAGAAGAATAAACCTTAAAAATGTAAAAAGAGAAAAGAACAATTATCAGCACTAACACTTTGGGATACTACTCTTTGTACTCAAAAAAAAAAAAAAGAAAATCAAACAAGAGGATAGAGACTAAACCTGTGATTTCATTGATTTTGAGAAGAGTTCCTGATGAGGAACTTCCTTTACCAACATGGATTGGCTCTTGGCAATTTATGGACTTAGAGAATTGAAAGCTAACACTTAATAGGTATTTATTGATTATTAATATTGACTAGCCACAGGTTCTCTACCCCTGAGAGCACTGAGAAGTTGTGACTTGCCCAGGGTCACACAACCAGTATGTATCAATATGTATTCTGAATCCCAAGCCAGCTCTCTATCCACTGCAATATTTATATATATATATACATATATGTATGTATATAATTATACAATTAGTGTGTCATTCAAAGCTCAGCTCAAGTGCTACTTCTTACATGAGGTCTTTCCTTGTCCTCCCAGCTGCTAGTGCCGCACCCTGCCCCCATTTTCTGTTTACTTTTAATATATCTTATATACATATATATGTGCACATTATTTTTCTAGATAAGAATGTAATCTTGAGGTCAGGGACGGGTGCATTCCAGTGCCTAGCATAGTGCCTGATAAATAGAAGGCACTTTAATAAATGTTCAATGATTGATTGGTTGTGGTTTCTTCCCTCTGCAACACCTGGTACATGTTTCTTTGCATTCTTTATTTTGGTTTTGTAGGGCTTTGTAAAGCTACCCTGAAAGGTTGCCATTAATAATTCCATCACATTAATTTACTTTTAAATAATAACTGTACATTTATTCAGCTATTCCACTACCTTTGAACATGTAAGTTATTTCCAGTTTTTCACTTTTACAATAAAGCTGCTACAGATCAATTTTTTTCGTTTTAATAACATCATTCAAACGAGGTGCCAGTAGGGAGATTACTAGGTCAAGTGTGATTTATATTATTGTATTTTACCAAATTATATTCCAAAAAGATTGTGCCTATCCTGAGCTCCACCAACATTGAATTTTATTGTTTGGGGGGGTGTGTGCATATGTATGTATGTACGTATGTTTTACCATATTGTCAAGTTAATAAACATATGGTGGTAATATTAAAAGTTACATTTATATAGTGCCCTTTACAAAACACTTCCCTTAGGCTATTCTTATGATGTCATTGTAGAAATGTTACTATCCTTACCTTAGAGATGAGGAAGCAAAAGCCAGGATGGTAAATGATTTGCCTAGAATCAGAAAGCTACCAAGCTTTAGAGTTCAGATTCAAGCCCAGGTTTCTCCTGGCTTGTAGGCCTGTACCACAAGCTACCACTATACCACACTGATTTCTATTCTTCTGGATTATGGGAGAGTTTGGTCATATTTTCAGGTAATTCTTAACAAACTTTATTGAATTCTTCAAGAACTGCCCAGTCATATTTGTATCCTTTTAGGAATTTTGGAAGATTTTGAATCAGAAGTCTTGGCATTCCCATGAGGATTCCCCGTCTTTGAAGTTAACATAAGGAAGGGTCAGAAGAATTTAAGTGAGGAAATTACCTAGGGGTATTGAAGATAGATTTGTGTCCCTCAGGCCATCTAATTACCCTCTTCTCCTCCTCTCCTCTTTCCCCAGTACAACAAAAGAATTGATCACAAAGGGAAGTAGGGGTGGTATCTTCTCCTCCTCTCCTCTTTCCCCAGTACAACAAAAGAATTGATCACAAAGGGAAGTAGGGGTGGTAATGAGGAAAACCACAATAATACCACAAAGGATGAAAGAGATATTCTCACATTTTCAAAGGTAGACCATAATGCAAGAAAGGAAGAATGGGGCTCATATGAGAACTGGGAGTTGAAATATTGGGAAATTGAGATGGGGCATTTATGGCAAACCTCTCAAACTATTAAGTTCCCATTTGCAGATATTGTGCCCATCTTCCCTGCTCTTTTTATTACTTTTTATTCTGCATTCCCTTTTACTCATACCTTGTGGGAAACATTCTGCTACTCTCTTGTCTGCCTTACTGCATGGTCCCCACATCTTTTACTTACTTGGCCTTTCTTTTTTCCATCTTTTATCTCACTCGCCTTTTCTGTGACTTGACCAATGGAGAGTTATGACTTGATTCTTCAGAAACGTGCTTGTGTTAAATGCTTGGAGTTAGTAATCTGATCCCTATCTTTTGAAAAAGAAAGCAAAAACTAGACATAAAAAAGCTTGCCCTTCAACTCTAAAATAATCACTGAAAGTGGAAGGTAAGTTCACTGAAGGAGAACCAGGAGCAATGTGAATCACTGAGGGGAAATCCTGTGAACCATTTTTAATTTCAAATACATAGGGCTTCCATTTGCACTATTAAGTGCTAAATAAATATGCAAACCAGCCTATTGATAGTATTTTTAATTATTTTCTCCTCATTGCAATTTCCTCCTAGGCTTATTCTAAGTGCACATTAGGTTTTTGTGTTTTTCTCCTCCATCTTCTTTTCCCCCCTACCTCTCATCTCCCATTAATCCTTTGACCTCAATCAGGAAAGCTGTGGAGTGGACGTTAATGCTTTTCTCATCAGGTTTCCATCCTTACAGAGCTCACCCACTCCATCCTAGAAGGCACCTGAAAATATTCCTTTAAATTCAATAATTCAAGAGTCCATAGGGTTCCCTTAAATACTTATAGGAGCAGTGACACCTAAAGTAAAGATCCAGCTAGAAGCAGCTTCTGTATTCTTTCATTCAGGGCAAGTATTCATGATGAAAATGTGCGAGACATGTAGCAGGCAGAAACCCTTCCAAAGGTAAAACACAGACAATTGAAAAAAAAAAGGAAATAAGAAATCCCCAAGATGCTTGGGGTGGGAAAATATATAGGTCTCTCTGCCCTTCTTGAAGCAACCTGAGCTACACACAGGATCAAAAATTTCTGGTCCACAAATAGATGCCCATAGATATGGAGCTGTCTTTTCAAGAACTCTCATGGATCTATGCAGTACCTGAGCATCTATGAATGGATAAGAACTGGTGTTTATAGATTTACTGAATTAGTCATCAATCTTGAGTCTAGTTTGTAGCAATCTGCAGTGGAATTGAAAGATTTTAGAGTTTTAAGAGCCATTTATGGGCTTATGTGGGGATATGATTATGGAGATATATATATATATATATATATATATATATATATATATATATATATATGATAAGGAGAAGATATGATACATAAGCTTACACTGGAATAAAAGGAGCAGGGCATGATCTAGAAAGGACAGATTTCTTTGTCTCTGGTTAAAAAATAATCATTTTACAATGTTTACTTAATTACCAAAGGAACAGAGGAAATTTTCCCACAGATCTCATCTCTTACTCATCTGATGACATTGTTTTTCTCACCACTAAAGCAGCCTTTCTTGGCTAAGCTAGATAGGGTGAATATGCCATTGTGGAATATTTTTGTTTGTTTTTTTGGTTGGGCAATTGGGGTTAAGTGACTTGCCAAGAGTCACAGCTAGTAAGTGTTATGTATCTGAGGCGGTATTTGAACTCAGGTCCTCCTGACTCCAGGGCCTGTGCTCTATCCACTGAGCCACCTACCTGCCCCCAGAATATTTGTTTTTTAGGGATAAAAAAAAATCTTCCCTTAACTTTGAGCTAATGTTTCCAAGAAATAGTAAATAATGATAATAGTATAGTAAGAAATAATAAATAAATAATAAAATGTGCCTTTTGTAGAAAGAAGTAATAAAAATTAAAGTTTAACCTCTCAGCACTTGTTTATCATGTTTAGCTTCTCCTAGGTTTTCTCATATTTCTGCTCCCTTTTGCTCCTCCGGCTCTCCGAGCAATTCTTATGCCAATCCATGTTTATTCTGGTCTGCTCATCTTTGGAACGGTGATTGCAACAGTACTTATGGGAGTGACCGAGAAATTGATTTTTGCCTTGTAAGTACATGCAGTATTTCATCATTTCTCCACTTCATTCTTTCTGTATTAAATATTTGCTTTCTGAAAGCATATGATATAGCACTGAGCTTTTCCTTTTTTTAAAGATGATAAAAGGAAGGCCTATAGAGGTTAAATGATGATTTTGCCCAGGGACACTATAAACAGAATTCTGACCCTTGCCCTTAGAGTTCACAGGGACTCAGTACCCTGGTCCTGTAAATTCTTCAGGTATTTATTTTTGTCAATAAATTTAAAAATCAATTTCATAGTTTTATAGTTTCCTTTTTAATCATTCTTTCTCTCCCTTTATTTTTAAAGGAAAGATCCTGCATATAGAGATTTACCCCCAGAAGGTATTTTTGTCAATACCCTTGGCATTCTTGTTCTGGTGTTTGGTGCTATTGTTTTTTGGATAGTCACTAGGCCTCAGTGGCAGCGTCCCAAAGAACCAAATGCTAAATTTCTTCAGCCAAATGGAAGTACTCCAGAGGGTAATGATTATTCCGTGACAGGCGACTTTGGCAACGTGGACAAATCCGATGTGGACAGCGAAGCAGCAACAAGAAAAAGGAATCTCAAACTGGATGAGACTGGACAGAGATCAACCATGTAAAGGGCTATTTGCATGTTGTCTTATAATTTCACTTCAAAACATCTCCAGCTCAGCTGTAGCTAGATATGAAGAATCTTCCTATTCAGCTACAAAAACAATTAAATTTTATATATCTTTATTTTAACCAGATGTATTAAGTAAGTAGTAGTGTTTAAAAAAAAATTACACGGTGTGGTTGAGGGCCAGAACTGATCTGAACTGAAAAAGAACATAATCAATTTGGGAGACATCACGTAGTAGCTTTTTTCTTACCAAGAACCAAAGCCCCACCCAGACTGACTATAAGTTCTCTGGTGGTAGGGACAACCTCACACCTTTTTGTATCCACCAGTGCTCAGCTAAGTGCCTTGCACAGAACGTGTGCTCAGTCAATGTTTGTGGGTTAATTTGATGGACTAGTAGCATCCCCTATAACCTCATGTCTGTCATCTTTAGCTTCTTCTCAGGCCTTCTGAGCTTGGGAGCTAGACAAGACTGAAGGGATTGTATCAGAGGCCTGAAACACCAACTTAGATCATTATTGAGCACTCTCAATGTCTTTATAGAAACCTAGTTGAATAGAGTGCTGGGCCTGGAGTGAGGAAGACCCTAAGTTCAAACCTAGCCTCAGACTCTATCTTTACTAGCTGGCACTTAACTTCTGTCTGCCTGTTTCCTCAATTGTAAAATGGGGTTAAGAGTAGTACCTACCTCTCCAAGGTTGTTGTAAGGACCAAATGAGATATATGTAAAATGCTTAGCACAGTGCCTGGCACCCTAGATGCTTAATAAATGCTTGTTCCCTTCACCTTCTCCTTTCATAGTAAAAATATTACATGTGCCTAAAGAGAAGTTAGCAAGACAAACTGGGCAAATTGTGCCTTTCTATTTTTCCCTTTTTGCTTATACGAGAACCTCCTAGTATAGACAGGTTCAGGCTGGACCTAAAAAAGATATGAACCTAGATTTTGGAGTCCTTACAAAATGATTGTATCTGCAGTTGGTCCCAGGAATTATATTGCCCTTTGGCCTTTTTCTAGTTCAGAGAATGCTCCAGGTTGGCCCCAGTGCCACCTCGAGGCTAGTTAGTGTCCATTCTAAACCAGACATCTGAGCCTGTCCTAGAACAGTCCTAAGTGCTTAAGGTGTCTCCACAGTAATCCTAAATGCCCTATATTTTCTCCAAATTGGAGTAACTTGGGATTTCGTTGCATGTTGTAGGGAACTTTATGGATTTAGGTGTACTCACCTCAGCTCTCCCTCTTGACTGAACCTCAGTGATATGCCAGAATCAATCAGCCTAAAGGAGAAGCAAAATGGGAGCATTTACCTCCTGTATTTCTCTCCTGTGACTGATTCCCAAATAACTAAGGGGTTGTGGGATGTACAAGTAATTCCACTGGTCTTTCTCTGCCCCCCTGACAGTTGAAATGGGCTTTCAAAGCCAGACCCCAGTTGATTCTAGCTAGTTCCATGTAACATAATTATGTTCTGGGTTATGTTCCATATACGTTCTACCACTGGCTGTTTTTATTCTTCTGGATTTTAGTATCTGGACAGAGTTGGGTGTGAAGGCCAGGGAGAAGCCTATAGGATAAACCAGAGCTAATGGCTAGGTTTTCTACTCTCTATGCCCTCCAGAACTTAGATGAATCTCTACAACTTTAATCCTGAGGCCTTAGACGTGAATAAGGTCTAAGTCTAGAGGTAATTGCTTAGTCTCTAGAGGTTCTATTGTGTCCCTTAAATTGGAACTTGGAGTAGTGAAAATGCTCTCTGTACCTACTCAAAGTTTTTGTTTGGTTGATTTCGTTATTGACCTCCCACAAGTTTTATAATAGCACTGATATTACAAATGCACAACAATGTCTTTTTTTTCTGATGCTTAATAGGAAAATTGGTTCTTTAGTAGATAACCAGGAATTGCTAAAACAGATGAGAAACCATCTACATTTTATCACATCCCTCTATAAGCTCCCAACCTACTAATTTGCCTAGTCACTCAAGTATTTCTTAGGGTGACAATGAAATGTGCTATCTAATTCTTCTTTTACTTCATCAGCCCTCTTCCCCATGGATTTATAGCATTGTCAGAATAGTGACTCCATACCATGTCAATTTCTATGAAAACAGTAAATAAATTTAGAGCAACCCACTGAACTGAATCTAGCTGCATTAGAGAAATGGATTACCAAGGACCACATGATAAGAGTGCTTCCAGAATCAGATTAAAATGTAATTGGGAAGTGTTTAACAAGATAAATAAAAATAGGTAATGTAAACTTATGGATTTCTAAGTCAATATGTGACTACAGTGATTCATTTCTGTTTGAATTTGACACCACTGGTCTGAAGTACCATATCAATAAGATTCATGAAAATGTTCATTAAAGAGCATATGTTGAATGAAAACTCTTTCAGTTGATTTGGGGAGTTTGGATGCCGAGCATTTAGCATTTGGGATTATCTTTTTTATTTTACAGAGGATAAAGAAAGTGGGTGTCAGAGAAAAGTTAATTCTTGATTTGCCATTAGACTATTACCCCATTACTAATTATTTGGGCCACCATTCATCCTAGCCCTTTATTCAACCATTCTTGTAAGCAAATTCAAGGGTAATCTTAAGAGACATTATAGGAGTGTCTTTTCCTTCTTACATAGCCCCTATAAAAAAAAATCCATAGTAAAATATGTCATCTTTTTTTTTTGTCTTAGATTCCTCTCTTAATTGGCTTTTGTACTAATGATAATTGCACCTTTATCTTTCAGAAACTGATATTTCCCCTTAAAGGATCTCACCTCACCACCAAATATCTCATAATAAGTTTAAAAGAATACGGGAAAAGGAAACCTTGAATATTCCCAAAATAATTATAGCTTATATCATCAGCAGAAATGGTCTGCCCTGGCTCACCCCATAATCTAATTCCAGGAGAGAAAGCTTTATTTTAACACTTATTTAAGCCAGCACCAAGGTAATTTCTAATGGTGGTTTTGTTGAGAAATTTAAATGAATATACTTTTGAATGAATGTCATCAGATGATAATATCTTCCTGCCCCATAAATTAGAATGAATCCTCACCATGTCACTTTCTTTTCTGTATTTATATGGCTTCCTTAAGCCAGGATGTTTAGGAGAAAGACCTCAAAAACCTGCAATTAAATGACAAAGAAATCAACTGCACTTTTAAAGACACACTGGCAAGTGGTTTTGGTTATCTAGAGTCCAAAGGAAGAAAATGTACATGTCATTTGGTTTAGGCCTTTTCCTCTCTTGAGCTTGAAATTGCAGGGAAGTAGAATGGTGTTGACTCTCAAGACTCAGAAAGGGAATATGCTTTCCATTGTCTGATCAACCGCTGTGATTACTAATCTATGACTGAAAGAAAAAAAACTGGTAGTGATTTTTTTTCTTGGAGTGACCTTTTAAAATAGAAGCACATAGTATAATGCTTATGTTTAACTAGGAATCACAAGAAAGTACAGTAGAGTGCATAAATAATCATTACTTATCATGTATATTGTACTTTAAAATGATGACAGTTGTTTTAAACGAAACAAAAGGTTTTCATCTTGAAAGAATTCTTTTTATCTCAATATGTTCATGGGAGACTTTCAAATAATCTGAATATCTTATTACTTGTAGAAAAATGCATCTATTTTTCCTGACCTGTTTTTATATAACAATAAAAGCTATTTTTGAATCTTTCATCTCTTGTTTTCAATTTGTACAATATGCCGGGGTCTTGGCACAATTTCAAAGCTTTTAGTCCCAGAGTTTTTTTTTTTAAGGATGATTCATTCACTGAAAATGCCGGAGTTTTTCTCTATAATTTTATATAGAACTGACTAGTGTCCAGGAGGATGGTCCTTCACTGTGAATGATATTACCTATATAGGAGACCTTTATTCATTCCTTCATTCTTTCAACATTTATTAAGTACCTATTGTATGCAGAGCACTGTTGGAAATTATTACCTGTACACAAGGTCTTCATTTTCCCTTTCATTCTTTCAATATTTTTAAAATTTTAATTAATTAGTTTTTAGTTTTCAACATTCACTTTTATAAAATTTTGAGTTCTAAATTTCCCCCCACTCCCTCCCCCCCACCCCTTCCCAAGATGACATGCAATCTGATATAGACTATACATGTGCAATCATATTAAACATATTTTCATATTAGTCGTGTTGTGAAAGATTTGACTCAGTTCTCTATGTTTCACAAATGAGGTTTTTATCAGAGAAATTTGCTTCAAATTTTTTTTCACAGTTACTATTGCTAACTCTCCCTCCATCTTATTCTTCCCCCTTTATTCTATTCTCTTCTTTCACCCTATCCCTCCTCAAAAATGTTTTGCTTCTGACTCGAGCCTCCCCCAGTCTGCCCTCCTATCACCTTCCCCTTCTTTTATCCCCTTCCCCTCCTACTTTCCTGTAGGGCAAGTTGGATTTCTATACTAATCTTTCAACATTTATTAAGTACCTCTCTATACCAAGAACTGTTGGGTGCTGGAGGAGCAGTCCAAGGGGAGGGACTTCATGAGCATAGATTATGCTGGTCTATTCCAGGGGTGGGGGGTGGGGAGCCTGTGGCCTCAAGGCCGCAGGTGGCCCTCTAGGTCCTCAAGTGTGGCCCTTTGACTGAATCCAAACTTCACAGAACAAATCCCCGTAATAAAAGAATTTGTCCGTAGTCAAAAGGCTGCTCCCAAAGACCCAGAGTGCCATATGTGGTCTTAAGACTACAAGTTCCTCATCCCTGATATTCAAATGATATATCAGACTGCTATTGTTATGAGGTTTTTCAGACTGCTATTGTTAGGAGGTTTTTGATTTACCACAGAATTTCAGAGTAGGAAAGGACCTCAGCGGCCATCTATTCTAACCCAAACTTAAAAAACATCCCCACTACAATGTATTTAGCAAATCTTCATGTAGACTTTACCTGAAGACTTCTAGTAAAGACAAGTCCAGTGTAAAATATTTCTTGATGTGTCTGTTTGCCTCAGCAGCTAGTATCCATCTTCCCTGATTCTATCCCATGGGTCCAAACAGAACAAACCTCAGACCTCTTCCACGTGACAGATTATCAGATACTTAAAGATTACTATCACATACCACAGAATATTTTCTTTTCCAGAATCAAAATCCCCAGTTCCTTTGACCAATCCTCATATGGAATGATCTCAAAGCTTTTCATTGTTGTGTTTGCCTTCTCTTGGAAACTCACCAATTTATCAATATCGTTCCTAAAATGTGGTACCCAGAAATGAACATAGGATGCCAGGGTTAGTTTGACCACAGCCGAGTACAGCAGGATTCTCACCTTCTTATTCTAGACCCGAGGCTTCTTAATGTATCCAAAAACCACCTTAGCTTTTGTATCTGTCACATGCCACTATTATTTGGTATTGAACTTTTGGTCCCTGAAAACCCCTTGATCTCTCCCAAATAAGCTGCTTTGGAGCAACATCTCCCTCATTTTACATTTATGAACTGGAATGAAAGAATGAACCCAAAGGCCAAGCTTGAATTTATCTCTATTCAATTCCACATTATTAGATGTAGCCTACTTTTCTGACTCATCAAGATGTTTTTGAA